AAGTGGTGTAGTTTGTTTAATCAAATATAGAATAGTTTATACTTCTGGAGAAATCGGTATAAATAGAACACCTTGACGTCACATTGCGTTACATGATCATGTGACGTAACAGTGTTATGTGACACCTTTTCACGTGATGTCCCGATTTCTGAGCTAAATTTAGCGAAGAATGTGTTACGTCACGTGAAACTGTAATCTTCGAGCCTTCGCCAAATTTTGAGCGGTGGTAAAGATTGAGTGTGTGTAGCACAGGAAACTGCAATGTTTAGACACCTTGAATGGATGATAAACTTAACAAAGACTGGTAAATAGTAAGTAATAAAACTTTTGAGTGTATTTTTTACTATAATTAGTTAATCTCTTATGCGCCACAAATCCTTCTCTGCACAGCAGGACTCTGTTGTTACTTCTTAATTGAAACCGTTTCTACGAAAATTGCTAGTTATTGTCGCCTACTTAAGAAGTATACCAAGAGAAATTATACATCTTTTTCAAGTTTAAAGTGATAACACGATCATTTAAATTGTTATTCTAGTGAATATTTTACGCCGCACGACATGGTCTCGCTATATTCGAAACAAATCTATACTGGTCACTGGGACGACATAGATTAATCGGCGTGAAGTGATCCGTCCGCTCAAGATGATGATGATGATGATGGTTTGCGGCTGTTCCCTTTTGAATCGGGCGGTCCCGTAGAGTTTGGGACCTAGCCAGTGGGGATTTGGTTATCCCCGTTGGTGAACTAGCATCCACCAGTTCTCTAGCCTTCGCTTCGTGGCTTCCACCTGCTCACGCCACCCTCCGTTGGTTCTCGGTGTAGCGTCGGTGTTGTTGTTGCCGTTAGTCCCACCCGCAGAGTCTGCCACTGAGCTGGAAGCAGACCCAAAGCCGAGTGCCTCTGCCAGTGCGAGCTCCCGGGTTGCCTGTCCACACTCCGCCGGTTGAACTGGTTGCAGACCGGTGCACGACAGCACAAGGTGTTCAATTGTCTCATCCGCCTGACCACACACACGGCATGCTGCAGATTCCACCGTCTGGTCGAAGCGACGGCGATACATCTGCGTTCGCAGCCCTCCTGCGCGTGACTCAAAGAGGAGCCGGCTGCCCAGGCTGTTGTCGTATAGCCTAGTCTCTGCCGAGATGTTGTGCTTATATCGATGGTACATATATAGCGTCGACTTGGACTTCGCCGTTTCTGCCCACCGAGCTGCCTCCTCCTCTCTCACCCTGTTTCGAATCTCCATTTCCCACTTCCTGTCTGATGTGATAGTTACTGGGGTTGAAAAGAAGCCGTATTTCTTCTCTAACTGGTACAGCCGCTTCCTCCAGCCAGTCTGCATTCCCGTGAGATATGTGTAGACGAAGAGTCTCTTGGCCCACCGGCCGCGGTCCATGAGACGGAGACGACTGTCGTAGGTTATCTTACTGGTCGCCTCCCTGGCCTCAAACGACGACCACCCAAGATCTCCCTGGACCGCTTCGGTGGCCACCATTCCGTGACAGCCCAGAGCCTGTCTCCCGACCTCTCGTTGACGACGTTCCATTACTTCCCGCACTGTGCCAGGGACACAAAGAACCGCGTTGGCGAAGGTTAGTCCAGGCACCTCAATAGCGGGACATACAGCGCCCTCCTGTGTAGGTTTGTCAAACTGCACAAAAAAAGAGACTCCTGCTAAAGAATAGTGTTCAAAAGCTGTGCACTTGGTGGCGCTGTCTGTCTCTGTAGTATTTTTGCGATTATATCCGCGATGACTGTTCGCAGTCATCCATTGGAGCCGAATGTTTTCTCTTCCGTATTAATAGTGACTTCTCTCACTGATTTTATTCCAAACCGACATATGTATAAACGTTCGAAACTAAAACTGTTTTCAAGACACAAGTGATCTGGATTGAAAGTGAAACAATAAAAACCTGCCACTCCCTCCCACCGCCTTCCCTCCACCTATCCTCTTGTTTACGCACAGATATTTTATATATTCCATAGACTCGAATTATTTCAAGATAATCAAGAAAAACGCGAGGCATTTTGGTAAAGTCCGGCTTTCTGACAAGAATTCTGTTCGTTTACGGACGCCAACAATCGAAAGTGTAGACTGATTATACCAGGAAGTTAACTGAAAGGATCTATCTCCGGTGTGAAGGATCACCGCGTTTTTGTTTTCCATCAATTTCCGCCTGATAAGTTAGGTCAGGCTTGTTGGCCAAATGCAGATTGTCGGGCAATGTGGGTGTCACCGACGTTTGGGTTCTATTGGCATGAGAAAAGACGGCAAGCACACGCTTAAACGCATCGAGAGAAGAAAAAAAACAACAGCAGAATAAAGTTTTAGCATCCAGTGGTTTAATTGACATTCCTGCCTATGCGTTCATGACCGTGCGTCTACCACGACCAATCACCACAGTCTATGCCGTCTTTTGAGAGTCCCTATGAGGTCATTTGTTACGATAGATAGTTAGGTCAGAGACAGGTCCTCGGCAAATTGCTCTCTATTAGACTAGCTGACTGGCGGAGCGCGGAGAAGAGGGTAGCTCGGCACAATATAAAGGGGCTGTAATCGCGGGCCACCTCTTCCCCCAAATCAACGTTTCGCGTGTCGTTGGGTCCATTCTTCTTTCTCTTTTCCCTCTCGTGGAGTCCGTTTTAGAATAGAAGATTTTTTTTTTTTGTGATTCATTGATGTATTGGCAGTTACGGCTGTACACGCTGTATTCACTTTCGTGGCAAACGCAAGCATGTTAGACGTGGATGTTTAGACAAGGTCAAGTTGGTTTTTCTTTGAGGTATAGCGACACTGGTACGCGCTGTAGATGAAAAAAAAATAGCCAGCCTAGTACGATGGCTAATTTGAGGTCTTTAACTTGCATCATGCAGCAGTTGTTAATTAAGGCACGCCTGTACGATACTCATTTAAATCGAAAAAGCGCACTGGCGAACACCGAGCCCAGGAACCCTTAGTTCAGCAGTGTGAGCTTTCGCTCCGTATGCCCTTGCGTTTTCAGGATTATGAATGTTTTAACGCAGCATATGTTTATGATCTGAATTTCACGCGAAATGTGTCACGCCATAGTGTAACAGAAAAACGTTACATACAGTCTAAGGCAGCACAAGGCATACACTGCCAATATTAGGCAATGCATAAGCTAAAGAGGGGGCATTCTTGGTCATACTTAATTATGTGTGTCTATAATTACGCGTAATTAATTGTAAAGAGAAAGATTGACCAAGCGGCTAGTTGGAATCGAACTCCGGACCGGGGGATCCGCAGCCCGGCGCCTTTGCTCAGCTCTACGAAAGGATTTTTTTTTTTATTGAATAGTGCTACGAGAGCGGCTGGAACAGAGCGCAAACAGCAGGACCTACTTTGACTCACGGGCGCTTGCGTGAAAAAGCGACCGTCCGCGTGTGCAGCTCGCTCCCGAATGACAAAGAGTAGCTCCTCATGTGATAACCCTCGCGGTCACGGGGCAGATCATAAGACACCAACGGATAGCGCGGCTGGCTTATGACGTCACGACTTAGCGCAGCAGCCGATAAATGAGGGGGCGCAATAAACCTCCTTCCGTCGCCATTACTTCAGTTACCAGTGGCTTCGCATAATCCAAGAGCACCAATGGCTTAAGGCACTACGCGTCCCTCGAAAGTAGCAGAACCAAAATACTTTATACTAGGAGAATGCATTCTCCTTCGCTCAATATCATTAGATGGTGCGCCTTCAGCGGCATATCCTCCCCGTGCGGTCTGGCGACCCCCTCCGAGAAAACGCATGCCTATCGCGCTGTCGGTGCTGTAGCGCTTACGCACTGCGCCAGGGCAGCCCACCTGAATAAATTTTACTTCTTTTGTTCCTTCTGATAAATCCAGTGATCCTCGTAACTGAAAGTCCTCGTAACTAAGCAGAACAAACCATAACGCACACAAAATACACGCGCTACAAATTCTGTGCACCCCGCAATTAACACGATGATCAGGACAAGTTTACATTCTTTTGTAAGAAATTTAAGATCCGGCTCAGTTTCAAGTGAGAATAAGAAAGAATTGCCGAAAAACTATAAGTTAGAAAAAGAAAGGAGCGTTTTCATGCCGATAAAGCCCTCATATCTCGAATGAGAATGTCAGCGTTCTTTCTCACGGCATCATCCTCTCTTAACATGAAGAAACGTTAGACCATCTAAAATTTACCACGTTGTTCTTTAGTGTCACGAACACAACCGGCATACAAATTGGACTAATTCATGTATCAAGATTTCCAATCAGTGGCGTCAATAAAGTTTCCTAGGCGCTTAAACCTGCTTAGATCTCATTTACAAAAACCCCGTCACACTAATAATGTCTTCACTACTTCCATCGGCGGGACGGAGTGAGTTGAAAAATTGGTGTTATCTCGATGCATAAACATTACGATAGAGACAAGTTTCCCGTGCTTCAGGGAAGCAGATATCCATCTTTCAGCGTTAAGAAACCCATAATTGACCGTTGCGTAACGGAGATTAGTACGTCACTGTTGAGCGAACGCGTATAATAAAGAAAAAACGCCTTTTAAATCGAAGTAGCCTGCATACTCGTACAGCGTAACGTGTAAGAAACTATGGGGAACAAACAAAAAACAAGACATTTGAGCATATCAGTGTTGATACCCAGAGTTTCGGTAAATGTACCTTCGGATCTGCAATTCTTGTTCGACCATATTTATAGCGAGTCATAAAATGTGTCGTCCTATCGCAACAAGGATCGGATGAGCTAATGAGCCTTGTAACTGAATGCCATAATATGTTGCGTTGCCTTGTGAAACCTTCTTGGATTTTCTTTCTGCCCGCTCCGTTGGACAACGGCGTCAAACCATTCATTCTTCGCGCTCTCGCCGACGTCGGAAGCAGCAGAGCGAAAGCAGAACGAACAAACGTGTCAAGGCTGGAAACGAATTGTGAGCGTGTAGCCCTTGTCGGACGGTGAACCAAGAAATTCTTTGCGGCGGATCATCGACTCTGGGAGGAACACCAGAGCAGTAGCGCTTCAGAGCTACTCCAAGTACGAGAGTGGGTGAGTATAACTCATTCCTAAACATAGTTCTCGTGCGCGTTTCGCGCATTAAATTGTTCTGCCTTGCTTCACGTATATGGTGTATGTTTTTCTTTAAACACTTGTACTTCATTTCAAAACGGCGGTGTAACGCCTTGTGAGAAACATGGACGCGACAGTATAGCAGTAATAAAGAGCTTTTTTTTTCGCGCGAGGCTTGTACCTTTTATAGCACTGTCCACAAATCGTTAGACGGATCGTCTATTGCAATAATTATATGGTTTTAATACCGAAACACAATATCCGAACATGAGCGCATGAAGGTCTCAGGTTATGAGTTGGGTTCCGTGTTTTCGGGTTAATCAGAAAAGGCAGTCGCCGGTAAATCTTCTGTCAATTCAGATTAATTCGAAAAGCTAAACATTTTCAAATCACGACCGCGAAATAAAACTAAAAAGGTGGTGTTTTATAGATAAATTTCACAAGAGCACAAGGTCAGTCGTCATGAGAAAAGGCTATACCTTTAGTTTCTTTTGAACACTTCAACTACTTAGCTTGTGAAGGTTCGTGAGGGCAACGTGTATTGAAACCTCTGGGTCACGTAAAAGGTCGTTGTTGATGTTTCCAGTTTAGACCGTTTTATTTGTGATCTTTTAAAGAAGGGAGGGAACGTGCTCTTATAACAGTCAATGCTATAAACCCGTGTATTCTAATGAAGTGGGAGTGCAGCTTAAGCACCCACCATTCACAGCGACTACGTTAAAGGCTTGCGTTATTTTAAAATATATCGACTCTTCTTGAGGCAACACTTCTTCGCAATATTTGTTGTGAGATAGTATTGCCAATGGTAAGGATGCCGATACCGAATACAAATTCAGAAATGTCATTCGGTACTGGTGAATTCTTATTATGTTAGGGTACGCTTGTAACTGGCTTTTATTTTAATTTTATTTTTATTGAAAATACACTAAACTTTATCTTTGAATTGCAGAGAATTGGGAATATGACGAAAATAAACTCTGATAAACCCAAATTGGTTTAGCGAAGAATAAACTTCGGCAAGCAGCCTACGAATTGCACCAGAAATAGACTCCAAAAACAGAGATTCCTAGTTATGAGATACTCTGTTTTGTTAATTTCATGGTAGGATTTCGGCTGTTGAGAGAAAGATGTCTGAATTCAAACTAATTTAGAAGTTATATAAAGTACAGTATTACCCCATTTCATACCATAATAGCACAGGTCTGCTGTCATTCGGAAATAGATATCTTCTCATTGTACGACAATTTTAACTAACGAACCTCTGCAGTTGTAACTTCGACAGCTATTTTACGCGCTCTTCTCTCCGATCCAGAGAAACCATGCAAACGTTATGCAGCTTGAAATGATGATATGTTATCTGGCGTGGCCGGAAAGAGTAGAGGGTATGGAAACTCAAAGATGAACCCCAGATACTGCAAGGGAGGTGTATACACTGAGCACACTGTTATACACTACATCCACATTCTAAAATTAAACATAATGCGCCTTCGTAAAACGAAAAAAAAAAACACGAGTCCTTTTGGAGTCTCGATAGACGTTGTGTAAAAATGACGTCAAAAGCGAGGTGACAGGGTTGGTGAAGCGAAGCGTCACCTTATTCAAACGGTAATATTCGTCCATTCATCCAGTATACTGCGTATCCACACGTGGATGAGCACATCCTTCAGCTATGTCTAAAATTGGCCATTTACTGTAAAAGCCTTTGTCGTCACGGCCCCTATTCTTCGCGAATCGGTCACACAGGACAAATCACGGCCACTAAATTTCGCGAATTCCAGACGCATGCATTGAAACTCTTCAGGACCGAATTTTAAGCGTGCCGTTAACTTTAGCAAATTTTTCAATTAGCGAAGTTCGTGAAAATTAAGGGCTCACGAACATTAAGGGTTTTATAGTAACTATGGTTATTTAAACCTTTTTTCTTTTTATTTCCTGCTAACACTTTTTTGTTTCGCATGCACTGCGGAAAAACAAACAGGTAGGGTTTTCTTTTTTTTTTTTTTCTTATCCATCCGGTGCTTTATTTAGTCTAGTAAATATTGTGAATAACTGTTAATAATCGTATTCGATTCAACGTTTGAGTTTTGGCGATCTAATATTATATAGCAATTTCTTTCGTTGTCGTTTCAAAAGGAGGCAAGATCAGCCTGACGCTGCGGCAACTAAGTGAACACAATTATGTTGTACAAAACTATTTGTCTATTCAATTATAGTATACACACGTAAAATTTTTATTCTGAATCCTATACAAAAATATAGTTCCGCGAACTTGTGTCTGCGCAGGATTATAAATGCTATATGTGCAATGTTTTCTTTAGAATAAAATAACGTTAAATAAAATCTCTATGGTCACCTTTTTTTTTACTTGGTACGCGTTCTATCAGGATATTATCCTGACAAATAATGATCAGATTTCACTGTATTTTTTTTAACTCTCCCTCTTTTCAGAAAATGTGGCACCCAGCATCTGTGGCAGTCTTAATCTGCGGAGTCCTGTCCAACTGTGCAGCCCAATCAACTCAGGACGTCATTCTTACCAGTACGGGTCAAGTACAAGGCATCGCGCTCTCAACCACGACAGGACGAGTGCGCGCATTTTTAGGAATACCGTACGCTGAACCTCCAACGGGAGACCTTCGGTTCCAAAAGCCTACGCCGAAGCGACAATGGGAAGGCATCCTGAATGCCACATCGCTCCCTGCTCTGTGCTCCCAGCCCGTCGCACAAATCAGCAAGTTTCTTAACATCAAAGCAACGGACAAAATATCCGAAGACTGCCTGTACCTTAACGTGTTTACTCCCATGACCAATGATACTTTGAAACCCGTCATTGTATCCATCCACGGTGGGGGATTTTCTTCGGGGGGAATTTCTCTGGAGGCATCAGACTCCTCCGAGTTATCCGTACGTGGTGACCTGGTCACAGTCGCCATCGCGTACAGACTCGGAGCTTTTGGGTTTCTTCACCTGGACATTGAAGACGCCCCCGGTAATATGGGGCTGTACGATCAGGTCATGGCTTTGCGCTGGGTGAAAGAAAATATCCAGTCTTTCGGTGGTGACCCAGACAAGATAACTCTGATGGGACCCAGCGCAGGCTCTGTCGCAGTGGGTGTCCACATCTTGTCTCCGTTGAGCAGAGGACTTTTTCACCGCGCCATTATGCAAAGCGGGAGTCCCTTCTCAAGAGCGGTCCGCAGCACAAAAGACCAGGCGAGTCTACGGTCAAGCAAGCTGGCAACGGCTCTAGGCTGTGAGACGTCAGACACTGCTGAGAAATCGTTACGAGGGAAGGAGATCATAGAGTGCCTCCGTTCTAAGGACGTGGCATCAATCCTCGTCGCCACCAAGAATTTCAGCGGCGGCGGCGTCGACGCCTTCTTCCCCGTTTTCGGGGACGAGCTCGTACCCGAAGAACCGGAGGAGGCGTTAAGAAAAGGGCACTTAAACAGTGTCGATCTTCTTGGTGGAGTCACAGAAGCTGAAGGAGATTTCCTGATGTACTACATATTTAATCCCATTCGCAATCTTTCTAGCGCTGAAGGTGTGACCAAAGGAGAGGTAATGTTTTTGCTAAAAATGGCTCTGGTCTCATCTGTTCCGGTTGATTCAAATATTGTTCTCGATCATTATTTTGCGGATGTCGAACAGAACGACAGTGTCAAGGTTTTGCACGCTGGCGCCGATATTTTCGGCCATCTTCAGATTGTGTGTCCGACTTTGGAATTCGGGAAGAGGTTAAGGCTGCAGAACAGTTCGGTCTACATGTATCAGTTCTCACACAGACCCTCGTATACCGACCATCCGGACTGGATAAGAACAACGCACGGGGACGACATTCCCTTCAGTTTGGGATCCGTGTTCAAGGTGGTCGAGGAACCCTCAGCAGCTGACGTGGAAGCAGCTGATGACTTGATACAAGCTATATCAAGCTTCAGTCATACAGGGTAGGTTATGTTCGTTATTTTATTAAGCTCTGTGTAGCCTGCAAAATAGCAAGTAACGTTTTAATGCCGTTTATGCAACAACGCGCTCTGTGTTCACTGGGTGTAAGAAAAGTATTATTTTTGTTTATTATATGTCGTTCCTAAGTGAAAAAGTTGTAGACTGAACGATAAATTTAAATGAGTATTATTATTTTACGTTCCTGCTCAGGTTAAATATGTCTTACAAGTTTATAATTGGCCAAGGTGGATGGGTCTGAATAAATCCGAACGTTTATTTTAGAAATTTTGAGGGCGAATATATTTATAAAAAATTGGTTCCATTTTTATTTTTGTCAAATACGAAAGTAAAAATTATCATCTTTTATTTTCTTTCCCTCCCTCTCTTTTTATTCCTTTTTTAGAAATATTGTGTTCCTCTTGGGAGGGTTTGTAAATAATGTCATTTATTGTTCGCAATTTGACATCGACGATCTCGAAGACGTTCTATACCAACCACAACACTTTTAAATACCGAATGAAATATCCAGGTTGGTACAACAATCGTGATTCCTTATTGGTGCGTTCACGTTATTTTCCTTTTTCTAGAATATCAATGCATTCTTGCATAATTCGGAATGTCCAAGTAGAGCACGCTATTTAACAAAAAAAAAAAAAAACTTCGAACATTTTATATTATGACATTATTGATAAAAACGCCAGGTTACGCAGTATGGGGTGCCATGAACATTTGAACTACGAAGAGATAAACAACAACACTTTACGCCTCCCCTTGGTGGACTAAATGTTTCGTCGAACGGATATTTTAGTGGTTGCATCTGCCGTGTGAAATAGCACAGCAATTTTTCGTCCAAGTAAAAAAATCACCGCGAAATTCCTGAAAATATGGAACAGCAGTTTGAGATACAGACAAGGAGCGGTTATCTGTGCTGCTCGAATCCAGAGGCTCTGCTACGTGTATTGCACCATCGTATAAAGCAGAAATTGGCCTAATCTGTTACAGAAGAACTTAAGACGAAACCTCCTGAAGCTTCAGAGCGACAGCAGAAGCTTTTTTTATGTGACAACTATGCTCTATTTCACCATAACTTATCAAACTGAAAAGGTTACTGTCTCATTAATCTAGTCAATGCGTCCGAGCAAGGCGCGTGGAAACGTATTAGCTAAGTACACTCGTGCTGCGTAGACCTGCTTCGCTCCGTCGCTGTGAAGGACTCTGGGACTCCGGAATGTTTCTTGCTAAGTTCTAGGCTTTAAACTTTTGCTTGATATAAGTAGACAATCAAATTACTTAGTTTGCCGCATTAAATTCCCAAGTAAAAACTTCTACGAAAAACTCGGGTGAATATGCCAACAAAAACACCTGGGGTTCCATTCCGAATATCAGTAGGCAGAAAATTGAAGGGATTTGCTAGTTTCATGTGCCTAATATACTGGCCTATCTACAGCAGTTGATAAGTTTAGGTAAGTTATGTTTGTTTAAGAAGTACTGTCTTCACTTTGTTTATGTTTGCATTTGAACGGTAATGATATACCAATCAGGGCAGTGTCGTATCACCGGTTCTCGGCTGTTTGATATCCACTAATGACCCACTTGTAGCACAAACACGTAATTAATATGATTCACTTACGCACTGAACAGCAAGGACTATGTTTTTGCATCTATATTATAAATAAGATCATCAAGAAAAAAAAAAAGCGTGACACAACGCCAGTTCTTTCAGACATGTGGCTGCAATTTTTGCGTGATCAGGAAATAAGAAGACTGCCAATATATTGCTGAGACAGAATGCAAGACCATTTTTTAGATAGTAGAGGCTCAAATATTTGGATGCGCTAGCAATTATCGGCATAATTGCCGATAATTGCTAGCGCATCCAAATATTTGACAAAAACAAAAACGGCAAAAATCATTTCGCGGATCTGGCGACGTTTCAAAACAAAACAGGTCCGGACACAACAGATTTAATTTATATAGCCTGTGTTGACACACATTGTCCTTTGAATTATTGTATATTTTTTGCGCAGTTTTGGTTTTGCACTGTACAGAGAGCCGCTAAAATGCAAAGTAAATTTAGATTTTCACAAAGTTTGCCATTTTTGTTTTTGCTTTTTTTCTTAATTTCAGAATTCCAAGGATCACAGGACAAGTTCCCTGGCCCAAATATAACGAAGAAGGAAGTTACGGCGACATCGGCACGAAACGTTTCTCGTACAAAAAAGATCTATTTAAGTCTGAATGTGCCTTCTGGAACAGAATATTGCCTATTAATTGATCGGCATTATTTTTACGAACATATTTTTTTGTAAACCTTATATATCTCTTGCGAAACGTGGTTGCGTATCTGAACGCAGGTGAAGTATCAGAGGTTGCACTCACTTCTGAAGCTTAAACTGTGGTTTCTCCATTGCGCTTCAGTGCCTCCGGATTACGTACAAGCAAAAAATAATGGCTCTAGTTTACCGGCAATAAACACACCAGATATTAATGTCGGGAATATTGTCTTGCGGTGATTTACATTTGGTTTACGTATATGACAAGGTATTCCAAAGGGGCAAATCTGCCAATATATTGACCCCACACGCGACACTCAACTGTTCAATCGTTGCCTATGACCCCAAAACAGAAAATCTGCGACCTATTTCCAAGCCTGATGTGGCATACTGAGTTCAATTTCTTCAAAGTAGAGGGTAATGCACAAAAAATTGCGCCATGGTCGAGGCGGAACCGAACTAAGCAGAACTACGGTTATATGAGGCATCACGTATTACATAACAATGCCACACCTTCAAAATAATTTATGAGCATGTTTGCTTTAACTCTTTATCAGATGAGACACACGAGTAAAGAGTAAACGTCTTGGGCGATCACACTCAAGCATTAGCTCTTAGTGAGCAGATAGAGCAGTTTTATTGAGATACCAAAAAAAAGTTAAACAGTCTCCAGCGAAAAGTACAGCGCAGACAGTCCTTTCATTTAAGAGAAAACTGGAAACCGTCTAGTTTTGATACCAAACCTCTAGACAGGACTAGAGGTTTGGTATCAAAAATTTAGTGTTTATCGACGCCTGGTTAAACAACTGTATAAACAGGGCAAGCGTATGCACCTTAATAATCTTGAGTGTAGTTTGTCTAAAAATCCTAAAGAATTTTGGAGATACGCGAAACAACACCTTCGGGAAAAGAATTCGAACATTTGCCTTCGTGATGGTGCTGGGTACAAATCGTTACCAGCTGAAGTAACAAATCCTTTTGCTGAGGCAAGTAGCTCTTGCTTCTTGCCTCAGCAATCGAGTTATATTAAAACCTTGGGTGTAGAACGTGGTGACTTTTTGACTTCTTTTGCTGTCGACATTGAAGATATAATCGAAGCAATAGATCAAATGAAACCGAAATGCTCTACGGGTATTGACGGCATACCCACTTTTATCATCAAAGGTTGCTGTGCTATATTTTCCCTTGTTCTGTGTCATATCTTTAACTTATCACTTAAACAAGGACTTTTTCCTGAGCTCTGGAAGTTCGCCGTTGTTGTCCCTGTATTAAAAGGAGGTGATTCTTGTTTAGCTAGTAATTATCGTCCGGTGTCATTATTATGTGGATTTGCGAAGGTTTTTGAGAAAGTAGTTCATAAGCGTGTTTATTTTTACCTGAACACGGTGATATCTGATGAACAACATGGTTTCATAAAATGTAGGTCTTTAGAGTCCAATTTGTGTTCGTTTTTAAGTTACACCGCACCAATAGTTACTAGAAGAGGTCAAGTTGACGCCATCTACCTAGACATGTCTAAAGCATTTGACTGCGTTAGGCACGATTTATTGTTGAGCAAGCTGGCCTCACATGGTTTCAGCCCGCATTTGTGTAGATGGTTTCATAGCTACTTGTGTGATCGTCGCAATTCTGTTTGTGTCAATGGCATCTTTTCTGTACAGTTTATTTCAACGTCTGGCGTGCCGCAGGGCTCAATTCTTGACCCGCTTTTGTTCCTGTTGTTTGTAAATAACATTGCTTATTGTGTCAGCAATGCTAACATCCTTCTGTTTGCTGACGATGTTAAGTTATTTCTAAGAGTGGAAGTCACTATCTGACTGCTCTCTTCTCCAAGCAGATCTAAGTCGTGTTTCGAGATGGTGTTTAGAAAACAGCTTGTTCCTTAACCCCTTGAAATCCAAATCAATGGTAATATCTAGGAAGCGTGATGTTATTTGTTTTGAATATTACCTGGATGGCGTGTTAGTTCGTTCTGTCTCCTTTATCAGGGACCTTGGAGTGTATATTGACAGCTCACTTTCTTTCAACAATCATGTCTTCGCTACCGTAAATGCAGTGTTGAGGACGTTAGGAATGATTTCAAGAACTTGTTGTCAATTTTCAACTTACCGTTGCTTGCTACTCTTATTTAAGTCTCTAGTTCGATCGCGACTGGATTTTGCCTCAGTCATTTGGAATTCATTGACTCTGTCGCAAGAGCTAACTATTGAAAATGTGCAAAAACGAATGGTAAGAATTTTATATGACCGCTGCATTAGAAGGAGATGTTTTTATCACTACAAAACTTTGCTTCGTAAATTTTCGCTGCATAAATTGGCCTTGAGAAGGCAGTACAGAGATTTTTTATTCCTTCACAAAGTTGTTCATGGCAGGGTAAATTCGGCTGCTTTATTACAAACTATTGAGTTTCATGTTCCCGCTCGCCCGAGTCGAAACATTTCAACTTTTTATCCAACTTGCATGTCCGCTGTAAACCCATTGTCGAGGTTACAAATTGCTTTTGATTCAAAGAAATTTAACCTCG